AGAGTAGGAGGGGAGGGGAAAGAAACTCAGAGCATCATGGGGCCCCCAGCAGCCTAGGCCTATAGCAGCATAACTAAGGGAAGGCTCAGCCCTAACTATAAGCTTTATCAAAAAGGAACGTCTTAAGTCTAATCTTAAAGGTAGAGAGGGTGTCTGCCTCCCGAACTGAGACTGGGAGTTGGTTCCATAGGAGAGGAGCTTGATAGCTAAAGGCTCTGCCTCCCATTCTGCTTCTGTGGACTCTAGGAACCACAAGTAGACCTGCACTCTGAGAGCGAAGTGCTCTGTTAGGATGATAAGGCTCTACGAGGTCTTTAAGATACGATGGAGCCTTGTTATTAAGGGCTTTGTATGTTAGGAGAAGGATTTTAAATTCTATTCTGAATTTTACAGGGAGCCAGTGGGGAGAAGCTAATATGGGAGAGATATGATCTCTCTTGCTAGTTCCTGTCAGTACTCTGGCTGCAGCCTTTTGGATTAACTGGAGGCTTTTTAGGGAATTATTGTGACATCCTGATAGTAAAGAGTTACAGTAGTCCAGCCTGGAAGTAACAAATGCATGGACCAGTTTTTCAGCATCACTTTGAGACAGGATGCTCCTGATTTTTGCAATATTGCGCAGGTGAAAGAAGGCAGTTCTAGAGACTTGGTTTATGTGTGATTTAAAGGACATATTCTGATCAAAGATGACTCCAAGGTTCCTCACAGTAGTACTGGAGATTTTGGAACAGCTCTCCCCTGGGTTTTGTCTCTCAGGCTACAAACACACAGCTCAGCCTTAGTGATGGTGGCTGTACCAGGATGACAGAGGCTGGCACATTAGGCTCCTGCACTCAAAGCCAGATGATGACAGTGCACCAGGGTTCAGGGTTGAAACCCTGATAATAAGGTGAAGCATGAACGTGAACATCCTGGAGAATCTGCACTGATCTGCTCAGTACGGCAGGTCATCGTGCACAGACTGTGCCACACAGCATCTCGCCCACGTCCAGCTGTTAGTTTTACAGTTGAAGTCGGTGTGAAACTCTGCGTCATCCTGCAGCGTGAGCTTGACAACAAGGCACAGTAAAACGATTAAAGTGTGTTTGTAGTGTTAAACACAACCTGCTGGTGATGGTGGGGGAGTCTGATCTATCTACTGACAGTAGGTCAAACCCAGATCAGAGCACGACTGAGCTCCAGGTGCCCTGGTAAAGAGCCAGCCATGCCTGGACAGTAATGCAGAGTATTTCAGTGGTACTGAACCTCAGTGAGCATGTGATCCGGCTCATCCTGAGCTGGGCAGAACAGCAGAGATGGTGGGAGCCATGCTGTGTGGCTGCAGCTGTGTAGACTGATTTGCAGTGATAACCAGTCTGTGGGCGATACCGGTGCCTGAACATCAGGGCAGGTTTGTTTTTGCAGCACCTTC